GCAATAGATCGGCCGAGGGCCAGATAGGCGGATAGAAATGGCTGAAAAGATTTCGATATTTGTACTAATCAACAATATATGTGGCATCGCCATTGCCTAGCTTCACAGTTTATATAAACATTTGATAGATCCTATAAAATGTCTGTTGGTAAGTACCTAAGTAGGAATGTAAAATTCTAATTTCTTTTTTGCTTTTATTTTAGCTGCACTTATTGGCCAATGTTGCTGATCTTTTGACGTTCGGCTAAGTAATTTATAAGAATGATTATTCAACTGATAATAAACTTGAACACTGTTGAAATCGTCTTAATTTCAACTACCATGGCTAAATCGATTCTGCTACTCACACTGATCAAGAATAGGTATATTTTGTAATACCTTCGAGAAATGTATTGAAATAACACCAACATTTTTCAAATCTCCCATAGTAGATATGAACGGATATGTTTCATAAGTGGAGTCGAGTGAGTAAAAGCCTTTTCTTTCCCTGTTTCTTAGGCACCCTAAGAAGTAGTTCACTCACTTACTTCGAGGATTCATTGTTTTCTACTCGATGGCTTTTTTACAAAGACCTGCTGCATGATTGAGAACGAATATGCGTTTATTCTCTAAAGTCCCACAATCCATGCAAAATTCTTGATAATTGTATACGCTTATTCTCTAAAGTAGTAAGGAAAGGGTATAAGTTAAGAAATTTCACAATTTTCGAATTACCAGGAATTTATTCTTACATTGCATATGTACGCATTTAATCACAACTCACTTTACGTCTTCACCTATTCACAAATCATAGTCAGGGGCGGAGGTATGGTTCTCAATGTTGAGTAAACTCGATCGCAACTTGAATGTTCTATCCGAAAATCATAATCAGAGGCCGCGTTGTGTTTCTCGAGGTCGAGTAAATTCGACCACAATTCGCCAGCAACCTTACTGCATACTTTATGGACAGTTGTAAACTCTCTATCCTACTCTGGTCGTTACAACGAGTCTATAACCCGACTTTACTCGCTATTGAGGACCATAAACCGGCTCCGGATGTTAGAAGAGCCAAAGGTACATTTACTTGCCTGAGCCGTAATAGAGTCTGGCTTACATCACAGCGAGTGTGTGTTTGCAAATTAAACACTTTTCTCTCTTTTAAGCAAAAAGCTGCTATTTTCCAGTTTAATTAGTTCTCTAAGTATCACATGCTTTCAATATTTTCCTATAGTTTTTGAAATTCCTTTACATTGCTTTCGCTTTCGGAGAAAATTTAATTCTACTACCGCAACTAGGTTACGTGATCTTTTCAATCGACTTAACCCATAACATTGCATGAATAAAACATATGATGTGTGTGATGACGTACAACAAAAGTTATGAAACTTGTGTGTGGAAATTTAAATGTTAATTTAAATGTTAAGTTGTAGTCAGTTGTTTACCTGATGTGTTCGAATTTCGCCCACCGATTGAAAGTCATTAACTAAGAAAGCATATACAAAGATTGAGCTTTCTTTGCCAGTAATTCCTCTCTTGAACATTTGCCAAATGTTTTTTTTACGCTTTATGATTATTTTAATTGTTTTAAGTAAGATCCGCGCGACTATGATATCAGTGTTCGCAGGTAGGGTTTACTTTGATCTGGCCTGCAGTGAGTGCTTAGTCGATAAAGGTGTAACGCTTACCAACTGAGGCCATAACCTCCTCATCTGCTCTTCTTTTCCGACTTCTTTCAAAAAACAAAAAAAAAAACAATTGCCAAATGTTTATTTCATTCATTATTATCATTATTTACATTTTTTTTTTTTTCGTTAATAATATGTTGTGCTCGGCAAGCAAAGAACCGAGCAACAGTTTGGTTTTTTTTTTTTTTTATGTATTTAAAAGGCATTTTAAATTAACAGTTGTTAATATGTTTGCGAAACATATTATTTATATATATATGTGTATAATTATTTATTATAAACTATGTTACATAAACTAAAAGTGTTTTTCCTATTTTTAAATTAATTGTTCAGTCAAAGATTTTTATTATATGACTTCAATAAAAATGTCTTATATAATAATTCCGTGTTTAATGCATGTACGTATGTATGTACTCCGAACATTATAGATGTTACCTATATATACATATACTGCTACTATATGCTCTGGACGAAAAACAAAACAAAGGGATAAATAAAAAAAAATAGAAATCTTATATAATCAATAAATAAAACGAATCAAATGTAAAGATTAAAAAAAAAAAAAAACGAAAGACAGAAAATATGCTCTATTTTATAAACAACAATTTAATTGGAAAGTTCATGTGAAATGAATCGTACTGAGATATATATAAAAAAGGTCTACCTTCAGGAGAACAAATGTTTTGTATAAGAGCAACAGTTTAAAGCAAAGATCAGCGTTTTTTCACTGAAGAAGAAAATATTTAAAATTGTGCAGTAATGAAATTTTTAATAAAATATAATTTCCAGATCATTTCGGAAAGAATTGCTTATTTATTTTTTTTAAAATCACGGTAAAATATAGTAGGTGGCATTAAAGTCCTAGAAGAAAAGAAGTCCTTTCAACGCGGATCTATTGAGACTTTTCAACATGATCTACTCCTTTGCAATTTGATCAGCAATTGGTACAAACATGGTACATGAAGGTGCTTTGCATACTACATTTAACTGTACGTACTGAAAATTTTAAATTCATTGGTCAAATATTTTATTTTAACGCCTGCGTTTGTTTATTTATTTATTTTTTTTTGAATAAGAGATCTTGAATATAAGGAATAAACTTTCTTTTTAATATGAAACAAGGACCACCATCAAATACTCTACACCACCGTACAGTTATTCATATAAGAAATTTTCAATATGACAATTAGGACTTGTATAGGAAATGGGCGTAAAAGTGACCCGATCCGAACGATTTTCTATAGCGGTCGGTCTTCAGCCGAAACACGCTAGTGTACCAAATTTATTCGAAATATCTAAAAAAAATTGCGGGCTGTAGGTTGAATACAAGAAAACAAGACGAACAGACGGACGGACCGACAAGTTTGGATCGATTCAAAAAGTGATTTCGAGATTAATACTGTATCGATCGGTATAATAAAAGGTGGGTTTCAAGTCCTTTTAGATGTTCCTTCCCCAAAAAACTTTCGGCTAAACTTAACGTACCCTTCCGACACAAGTGGTGTGAGGCATAAAGAGAGCGGGAGAGAGATCTTCTTAACTCCTAACACTTCTTTACCTATAATGCGATTAATTAAGAACGAAAGAAATTTTTCATTGACCAGAAGTCCTTCTCCCTCTTGACTTGGATCTGCTTTGAAAGATAAAAAGTTGGCTCATGTAATATTATCAACCAATATTTGTATGTTCTTGTCGTGTACAGACAAAAATATTTGAAAATACATTAAAAACAGGAAACAAAGTATTGATGATTTTTATTTAATTTAATGAAATTATTACATTTATATATTGAAATTAATTTAGGAAATCTAATTTATTAATTTCAAATTAAATTCTCGATATATAATTAATACGCAAAAATACTGTTTTTTACCGATTTTTAGAAAGAAGTGGTCGTAACTCCCTGTCTAATTGCAAGCGTCTTTGGGATGAAACATGCTATGAAAATATGTTGAAACAAGGAAACGCAAGGCACGGATACCAGTTAGAGGAATGGAAATGGATTCAAAGACAAAATGTTTCTGAACCGATCAGTATAATAAAAGTCGAGTTGATCTCGAGTAATTGTACACATTCCATATGCCCGCAACAACTTTTCCCGATCGCCACTAAGTATCGCCCGATACCATAACAATATTCTATAAGGCTTCTTCAACAATAGATGATTCGCCATCTAGAAAAACTCCGCCGAATACAAGATTTTCTCTTAACTTCGAGACTATGCCTGTGTGAAGCCTTCATGCACAATTGTTTAATTTAAGAAAAAACACTCTCAACTATAGAAATGTTATCAGCCGAGTTCGAATAATTATAAAAAACTAGAATCCAGTTTATTTTTTTCTCCACAAATTTAAAATGTTACATTTTTAGTCTTTTGTGAAAAATGTGACGACACGAACGTCTTTTCCATGTACTATTTTATTTTCTGATTTAATTTAGATTAGTGCTTAGAGTCTGAATTTTCAATATATTCAGAAATTGAAATAATTATTTGGTCGAGTGATAAGTAACTTCCATTTTTTTGTCAGACATTTATATTGTTTTCATTGAATAACAAAATTATATTAATTTTACAATTGGTTTCGAGCCATTCAACCTCTTTGCTGTATCCCTTGTCGATTGGCGTGGATTTTGGTCCAATAATGCCTTTAAAAACTTGTCGTCAAAGTCGGACGGACGTCCCGCCTTTCAAGTTTGTATTTTCGTTACGGAATTTAACAAACCAATTTCTAACTGGCCGATCAGTTATCAGTCCTTCACCGCTTACTGCATATTTTTGCAGCTATCATCTTAGCGCTATTGCCTCATTTAAATTCCCAATGCATTACACTTTTGACTCTCCATTTCAGAGGCTAAACAAACAGTTGAATGTAACATGCATCACATACAACAGTTGACAGAACATTAACTGCGTAAATATGAACAAGAGATTCTATCTACCTGCATAGGAAGTTATTTATGACTCGAAAAAGGAAGTTATTTATGACCGGAAAAATATCGGTATCCGATAGTGTTATAATATTGAACTGGGTTGTGAATATTTACAAGACAATTTCTTCCAATTATATTCCCAAGCAATTTTATTTGGATTTCGAAAATTTGAATGCGCAAGTTGTGCTTGCTTTTATTTGTTGTTTTTTTTTTTTTTTTTGCATGAACGATCGTATGAAAAGCTTGATAAGCGCCCAAATGTGTTCGACCACAAAAAGTTATCACAAACACTAACGATAACAGTGAAGTTGTCATCGCTGAATGTTTTGGTAATCGAAACAATAAAATTCTTTTACACATTTATTGCGATTTTGCATTTTCTTTTTAAATAATATAAAATTGTTAAGATAATAAAATGTCTGCACTTTTTAAAATTTAAAGTTACAAGTAAAATAGAAAAACAAAAAAATTAATTAGAAATAGTTATAAGGCACGATTACGGTAACGAAAACAGGGCACGCCCTGTTCATGAAGATTTTCTAGGAAAAAAGAAGCTCAATAAAAAACCATATATTATTAAGCGTTTTTAATTAACACAAAGGACTTGGTTAAGTGAGTTTAATCAACATGAATTACGGCCGCAAAACTCCGTCTACTTATCGATCAAATCCCTCCGTATATTCACATACAACGGGCAGGTAAACAAAAAAAAATGAAACAGAAGAAACCAAAAGCATATATTAGCGTAAAATTCTTTCTGTTATTTGAGCGCAGATCGTCGACAAATTTACACACCGTAAAATCACGATCAACACGTTCCGTACGTATACCTTGGTATCAGAGGCCGATTCTAAAAAATAATCAATATATTGATATACAAAAGAGCGCTTTGTTAATTGGCCTATTCGCTGTAGTGAGTACACTTTGAACTATTTTACTTCTGTTGAAGATTTCCTGAAAACTAACAGTTTCATTTTAGTTCTTGGCTTTATTTACCATTAGCACTGCCATTTTTGATATATATTGTTTAGCTATGGCTGCTCCCGGTTCTACACATTACGGTTACTATATAATCTCGTATGAATTTGTTTATGTAGGCAATAAACATGGTAAGAGTTCATTTCATAAATTCATTACCTCCTTAATTAACCTTAATTAATTATCTCAATTGTAGTGCGTCACATGCTGATAGTGTTCGCTTTGTTCTCTTTAATCTTAGGCACCATTGTTCTATTTACTAGTATCTTATTGGTGGTAGCTTTAAGAAAAGTAAGTACAAAACAATTTTATTCAATTGTTTAAATTCAGTTCTGGTGATATGTTCCACTTTTTATGTTACGGTCACTATCTACTATTTACTACTACATTTTAAAAGCATGTAAAATTTATTAATTAATCTGTAATATCTGTCAGAGATTTTGACTCGGGTGAACTTATGAATTCGTTATTCGCCATTCCTGGAAAATTTTATAAGGGAAAAAAAACCTGATTGTAAAGCGAAAAATAGACCATATATTAATTAGGTTATTTTGACTATTAAACCAATACGAATTAGTAAGGAGAAACCAATTTGAGACTCTAAACATTCCAGTGCATCGCTTATCATTTGCTTCACAATTTTTCTTACATATTAATATTTATACATGAGCATTCTTTAAGCGTAGGGTACATTACATTTAAGGATATATATTCCTATCGTTTATCCATGCACTGAACTTGTGTTGTAAAGGAATCTTAAGTTCATACCGTATTAGTTTCTTTACTTTCTGTGCTTCTCGATCTAAATAGCATGGGTTTAGAAAGAAGACGGTAGTCCACACGAATTTTTAAACAACACTTACCTACAATATTACCCTATATCGTAGATTGTACATTCGCGTTTTGAAAAAAATAAGAGAACATAACATAACCTCAAAATGTATATTTGAAAGCTCTCTTAAGAAATACTGTATATGTATATTACATCCTATCTATTTTACTATCCTAGGATAATAAAATTGATGATTTCAAAGATGACTTAATAATAGAATTGAATAATAGAGATGAATTAACAGTAGAAACGTAAATTATCTAAGGTGGTGGGCAATCAAACTGCGCCTCAAGGCGAAAGTCATTTTTCTTACTAATTTTCATTAAGTTTTTGTTTATATCTGTCATTTAATCACACATTTTATTTGTACATATTTTCCTTAATTTGCCAAGCAATGCAATAAAGGAAATGCACAAAAACGTTTTAACATAATGCCGGTAAAACATATACACATTTTATATTTTTTTACTTTTTTTGTTGTTGTTGTTTTTAAAATCAACTTTTCTTTCTCACGCTTTACTTTGTTTTTAAATGAAATTATAATAAATTTTCTTGATTGCCATTGAATTGCCTTAGGAATATGAGCGTAAAATTTTACCCTGGCTTTGGACATTTGCCATATTTACAATTTGGCGTACCTTGGCGTTGTTGTTCTTTGCGATTGTTAACGATTTGTACTTTGCCTATAATGCTTTGATTACCTTCCTATGGTCGGTATTCGTGTTGGTTAGCATCTATGGTTGGTGTGTAGTGTACTCTTTGTTCTTGGAATTGGCTGATTTAACGAAACTTGAGGATCTGGCTCATTTAAGGGTAAACAATATTTCCAATCATATATTTTATATATAGTAAGTAGCAAGGATTGAGTTTTCTTTACATTTTTCATAAATTTTCAGATGGGTACCATGGCTTCTTTGCATGCATCGACTGCCAATTCTTTGGCCGGCTCACGTCCCACCACCCCACATAGTACCGTTTCTACCATGCCAGTAGGTTAAAAATTCAAAATAATTCATTTCTAACATATTCCGTCCAATTTTTGGCTCTAGTTCTAATATATACATATCTATATATATATATACGTTTTCTTTTTCTTAGATTTTAATATTATTTGTACCAAATTATTTTTTTATTTACATAAACCTAAAGTGTGCCTTAATAGTATTTACAAGAAATGCGAACATTCCTTCCTTCCTCGAATACTATAGGTTTTTATACCTCTCTATTATTCAGATTTATTATTTAATGTACAAAACGAAAAAATGTTAACAATGGAAAAATGTTTTTATAAAATAATTTAAAAGGTCTTTTTTTTTTTTTTGGATAATAAGAGCATCGCCGGAAGATTAACGGAAGTAAGTCCGAGAATTACCTTGAACGTGCACCTATGTTTACCCCTTTCAAAACAGCCTAAATAACATATATTGTAACTACACGGGTATTCATTGCCTAAGAGGAGTGCCACTGCAAAAAGGGAGCTCATAAGTTGAAAAAAAAAAACTTAAGATTTCCACATATCATCCCTTTCACAAAATCTGTAACTCTAGTTCGTTATAATAGTGGAATTCGAATCAATTTTCATAACTTGTACCACATGTTCCAATAAATAGTTACAAAGGAGAAGAAGAGATTGGTACCACACCGTTATTTTATATTTGCCCATAGTTATATAGAGCACGTAAATCGTTTTTACAACCGCTGTTTATATTCACTATTGCCTAGGTAACCTGTAAAGTGTTTATTGCCACCCGTTTTCTTTGCGTGTGCTTTTTATAATTGAAATTGTGTAACAAATTCCTCGGAATTTCTGCTAGATAGAAAAAATAATTTCTTACTGATCACATCTATCTCGATTTGCAAACAAAACAAAAGCAAAAAAATGTTGGCTCCCATTCAGTATTTGCTCTCAAAAAAACGTATAATATTAGCAAGCGGTTCGCCTAAACGGCAACGCTCATTTCGACGGCCAAGACAAATGGAATTACATGCTGATAAACCGCCTATTAGAGGAGGAGGAGCAATTTAAACATTTTTGTGGCGGCAGTTTGTTAAATAACAAGTGGATTTTAACATCTGCTCATTATCGAAACGAGGAACCCAATCAGTTACGTTAGCGATCAAGATTCCAATCTGGTAAGATAAATTTAAATTTTCAAATTTTTGTTTTATTTGTTTTTAGTAAAAAATTCCATACAGCAGGATGAAACACATGCCATAGAAATATAAGCAAATTAAAAAAATATTGCGGGGAGAATTTTTCTGAGCTTTTCTTTACTTTTATTAAAAAATGTATGGATTTTGGTCATTTTCAGACACAAAAGTACGGATTTTCATAGAAAGATGTAAGGAACATCATAAATTTCAAATTTATTAAAAAGAACTCTGCGCTGAATATATGCTACTGCAAATAAAAAAAGCTCTAAGTCATTTGAGTAAAGAATATTATAAAAAAGTCTTAAGATTATTAAAACTAAAATTTTAATTAATAATTGGGAGTTACTTTGAACGTTACGATTAGAACCCACACGAAGAAAAGAAAAAGAAAAAAATTACCGACACATTAAAAAATAATTTAAATTTTATTTGCAATAAATTCAAATAAAAATTATTAAAATGATAATAACGACGAGAAGAACAAGAGAAATAAATAAAAATAATTTTTTCATCTTTAAGAAGTTTCTATTTACTTGCTGGTTTTATTATCATTTTTGCTCGAAGAGAGTTGAAAACGTTAATCGGTTCTTTTGGGCTTTTTAACTTCACTTGGAGACTTCTCATCTAGCTTGGATTTCGATTTCTTCCTTCCGCTATGAAATTTTTCTGCATCTGTGACTTTAAAACGTTCATCTCCCTTCAGTTTCGACGACTCTTTGCTTCCCGAACACTTCAGACGTCTTTCACGCTGACGCTTTAATTCACGTATTTTATCTTTTTGTTGCTTTTTATACCTAAAAAGAATTCATTCGTTCAGAATGGTAAACTTTCTTTGCACTTTACTTAATAACTCGCAAATTATAACATATTGTGGAGAACGCATATCATTAATGCTCGTCAATGCCTGTTTATGCCATTTATCCTCCGAGGAAAGATGTGCCTATTTATACACAGCTCTGAAGATTGGTTTTAGAGACATTCGTTCGCAACGGTTCGAAGAAAGCTTCAGTATATGTATTACGCTATATATTCTCAATCATTCGATCAGTGTATCTATGTCTGATAAATGTTTTTCCCATCGTAAAATGGGTGGGGCTGCTGGGACGTTAAGTCACCGTCCATACATACATACATTCATTTACCCACCCCATCTTCACGAAATCTTCTTCTTCTCTTCGCTGTACTTTTCACTTATATCTATTTCTTATTTCACAGTGGCTTGGTGATCCTTTGGTTCTTGCGGATTTATTGTATCAATAGGCTATTTACGCTGCGATAGGACGATTAGTATCTCATGATTAACAGCAGTACTATCTGATCAAATTTGTGCGTACAACAAAAAATGCTTGGGGGGCTAAGCTGGTTTCTTACTGCATGAATCGATTCAGAAAAGATTTCCCTTTAACGTTCATACATTCATTATTACGCTCAACATAGCGGTTACATTATTGGATATATTTTAATGAAGGAGAAGCCAATTTAAATGTTTATCGACGAAAACCGAAAGGCATTTTCTGCCATACATCACTGAGTTCAAAAATCAGTTAAATTAATCAGCCCATGTTTTCGCCCATGAATAGTAAAAGTCTGAAAATTGGATGTCTACTCTTTTGTGTTTTATGTGCAATAATCTTTACATTATGTTAACTAAGTGACCCTTCAAATGAAAGAGTTCTGGCATAAGGAGTATGATAATGTTATGATCTTTCGTATCAACTGTAGTTGTACATACTTTAAGGTTTCCTTCCTTCATCGTTTTCTTTTTAGATATTTATGGTATTGGAAATTAATCTTTATTACATAAGAAATTATTTTTAAACAAAAACTGAAAATTTATGATATGCTTAGAACTAAAAAATAAAACACATATTAAAGTTTAGGCTATCGGCTTATCAATCTATTGCCATCGCGTTGTCATTACCGCTTACTTCAGGTTTACTTAAATCATCAACAAGTGTATCGAGCAGATGCCGCAGCTCCCGCTGAGCAAATTCTTGTGGCAAAGGTAAAAGTTCCAGAGCAATCGTAATGATATTGCATGGATTTAAGACGGGACATACAAGCAAAACGCCACGTAATAAGCAGGCCAGATTTTGGGCAATTTCACTTTGGCATAAACTATGTTTTGTGGTTGGACAAGGTAATGATTTAATGCGCGAACATAAGTCGGCTAATTGAGGTTTTAAATTTTCCCAATGCGCCTCAATATCGGCTTCAGATTTTAAGGATTTCAGGCTTTTAAACTTTAGAAAAACGTGAAAAGAAAGAAAAATCGTTAGGAAATGTTTAAATATCTATAACGGAATTATTTGTATGCATAAATTTGTAGCGAAGATTAAGATTCCAAGCTTCCTGAAATAATCTTCAAATAAGCTAATTCATCATCAAATTAGAGTCGTTCAAAACCCTCGACAAATCTGCTCGTCTCCACGCGTTACACAACTTGTACTTTTCCCGCGACAAACTTAAGCACAAAAGCAATATTTATCATTTACCTTTTCATTAATATTTATAAAATCAAAAAATATTTGCCCTTGTTTGGACCAATTGGGCACTTTAATATTTTTATGCAAATCGGGACTTTCAAATTGCGACAATAAACCATGTAGGTAATCCAGATTGTCTAAAAAACGAAAGAAGAAAAAAACTGTAAATTTGATCGCGGAACTGTTTTACCACATCTCATCTCACATCTTACCATTTATAATTGCGTCTGGGACAATACGCTGGAATATTACTTCATGGGCGAGAGACCATTGCTTAGCCTTTAATAAATATTTCGCTTGCAGATGATAAGCGCCAAGAGATCCCGCTTTCACTGCCTTTGCGTAATCAACCCATTTCTCCGGTACGCCCAAGTTGTTAATAACAAATTTTTCCTTTTCACTAAGTGGCACATCTTTGCTTATCATCACGTAACGATAGAGCACATTCTGTACAGCCAATCCACGTTGATTGCGATCCTTAATATGTAGCAAGACAAAAATGGACCATTCCCATAAATCGTGACTTTCCAATTGGCTGGCAAAACCTGTGTGTAATTGCGCTTCACTCAGCTCAGAACAATGATGATAACCCAAAGCTTCCAATGTTTGCAATAATAACCAACTAGAAGAAAGAGAAAATTTAAAATACATAATTTTTATGATCGAATAGATAAACATACCTTAAACGATAATCCATAGGGTCGGGGGTATGAGTAGCGGGATTTAATAGACTTTCCAAAGGATGACTACGTTTGGAAAACAGTTGCAATAAATGATAACGTAAATCATAAACAGGTTGATATTTTCGTTGCTGTTCACTGAACAGGCTGTCCTCTTCCATATAAGTGGGTATCGGCGGCTGAGAGTAGAATTCCTGTGCTTGAAAACATTTGTCATAAGATATTAAAGCATCGGTTATCGATGAAACAGGCGAATTTAAATACCACAATTGTAACTGAAAGGAATGCGAGAAAAAGAGGGCGTTAGTTAAATAGAAATCTACGCTACATTAGTTGCTCTCTAAGATTATATTAAATTGTTGCCGACAAATGTGAGACCCAAGATTATTTTGGGGGCAGCCTCATCTTTTAAGCCAATCAATTCGGAATCATCTGCTGTATTGAACATATTTATCCATCTGAAGGCAGAATTTTTGAGATATTTTAAGGGAGCTTGTTCCCTAGCATATCCGATTGAAAATAAATCAGGTCGAATTACTTTTACGCCCATATCTCACACTAAATGAACGCGCAAAATCTACTAACGTAAAAACTCAACTTCCTAGGAAAGATATCGCTTTATATGGTAAGATTTCATTTGTAATAATTTAGGATGAAAATTTATCATTCACGCTTATGAAAAGTAAACTCATTAGACGAATTGACAGATCCGATCGAGGCAGATAGACTTAACTCGACTAACTTACCGCCAAAACTTTAATCCATTCAATTCCTTCCAAACAATTGATATCGCCATTGAATGAGCTCATTAGTGGAACACCAGCCACTAGCATAAATAATTTCAAACGTTCCAATTGTATAAACTCATCAGCTTGATCGGCATGCCATGCGGCCAATTGATCTTCAACTAATTGTCGCACTCTTGGTCCAGAGGACAATTGAGACAACAGCAATGACAAGTTAACATCGTCATATGAAAATGCCAATTCGCAAGCTTCGGTTACTTTATGACACATTACCAATTCCAGCAAATGATCCAGATAGGTATTGCGAGACACATTTTTCGTTAATAAATCTTTATCAGTTAAAGTATTTTCCAACCACTCGGACAACAAACTGCGACGACACATCACTACAAAATGACTGGTGGGATCGCGGCCTTCTAATTCCTCATGATCGCCCCATAACGCTAAGCACAGAGACCACACGGATACGGCATACTCCTCCAGAGGGCTTACATTTAGCAATTTTATGGCCTCATCTAAATGTTTTAAAATTAGTTCTGTACCTCCATCCGATTTAATGTAAGGACATTCACTGCCTACAACCTCCTGTTGCTGGGAATTACGCAATTGTATGTTTAAGTGTTCAACTATAGTCTCTTTGAAATTTTCATAATGCAAAGTTGACGATACTTTTATATGCTGTAAGACAGTAGTAGAGTAATCATCGATTGAACGGGTTTTAAATAACTGGACAGCGACATCGTCCAAATTACTGTTCGCTAGACGTATGTAAAAAATATATAAAAAATGATTTTTTTATCACACTTTTTTTAAAATATAGCAAATTGACATTACGTTTCACCTCACGCGTTATGTTACTGTGAGTAGTCGGTACTATTAAGGTTTGTTGAGGGCCAAAGCCGATTTTGAAGCGGCAACTGTTGTAAAGACCTAAATCTGCAGCCCACTTAAAACGTAAAGGATAAGCGATTGACCTGTGCAACGGTACTTGGCAAGCCAAACTCCTTACTGGGGCTACCTTCGGTTTAACGATAAACGGGGGAAGTTCTTGAGTAAAAATCCTTTTATAGTTATCATCGTCCTTATGTTGAGAGATTTTCCTTGTTTGCTTATTGCTTGCAATGGAGGCGGGAGATGAGATGAGTAAATGAGGGGAAGCGTCCGTCAAGCCGAAATCTGGACTCGAAACATCTGACATACCAGCACCGCTACCGACCACGTCACCAGTTACTACATCTTTCCACAATGATGAGGCTCCATTCCACTCGAAAGCTTTCTTTCCACCATAAGTATTAGAAGCTGATGGTAAATCGTGATCATATTCGTCGGGGATGTCATAATCGGAAACTACAACCAATCTCGATTAAAAAAAGATTAAAAACTTTAGTTTTGATACCTTACCCGAATTATTTTCTACATCGTCGTTGATGAAGAATGAAGCTTTCATTAGCTGCAACTTATGAGCATCGATGCCTGCATCTTTTATCATATTAGCTACAGGACTGTTAGGTACTGCACGCTCAAACATGGAGTGATTGTTGCTGTTATTTTCAAAAAATTCTATGAAAAAGTCAAAAACAAGTTTATAATAATAGTATAAAAATTTTATTTAAATGTTAACATCTTCAAGGACACTAACGAGCTTTATCCATAAGCATGAATTCGGCAGACTCGTCTAAGGGATAAAAACCAGCCGTTAAAGTTTTAGGATCCAAAGCACGGGCAGCGTCTTCAGAAATCTAAAATTAAACGTAAAGCAAAATTACTGTTGAAATGGCTTTACTTTTTCTTACTTTTTGTGCATTTTTCAAGGCAGCCAAAGTCATTTTGTCTGCTGCGTTGGCAGGTGGCTTCGCTGTGGTCGCGTCTGCCGCCACTTTGGCTTTTTTCGCATCGCTAGGCACATCGTCGTCTTCGTCGCTATCATTTAAGCCATATTTGGAAAAATGTTTTACTCGAAATACCCAACTGCCCGTTTCAGGACGGTACTCAACGAAACGTGTCTCATTTTTGTCGCATACTCGTCGTAGCTTTCCGTCCCAGTCCATCTCGGTTAAACGTTGAGGATCCTTTATACGCTCATGCGTACATTTATCCAGTGGCCATACTTGGTCGAGAGTAACTTGAGCCTCGCGATTCAAGCCCTGACCTACAGGCGGCTTATTGTTATCGTCCGGATAAATAATGATTTGCTTATCACGGAAATGAACAATTTCATCTAAATTTAAGCCTGCCACATCCATTTCCTTGCCGAAGTATACGTTGCCGTAACCCTCACGGCCCACAGTGAAATTCGGTACTATGCACGAACCATCTTCTGCTAAATAAGATTTTAAATCGTCCAAAGAGGGTATGACGTAATAACTGAAATTAAAGTTATTTTTTAGTAATTAAACAGAATTCTTGACAAGGTTAAGCAACATACCCCTTTCGTCTTAATATAATGCCAGTAGGATGTTCTTCATACTCTGCTAAACCTGATTCATCAATGCTTGTGGATTTATCCTCAGTTGTCAGCGAACGACTGGAAAAGATGCTACTGTTGGCGTTGACATCACTTTGGTCACGGTTCGATAACAGGCTTGTGTTACTTTGATCCTCGAAAGGATTTTCAACTACGGTGGAAACAGACGGTCGCCCAACAATTGCTATATTGCCTAAAGGACGATAAGTTTCTAAAGGCTTGCGAGGCACAAGTTCATTCAATGTACTGTTGGGCGATATGCCTGGTTCAATGCCAGCATTTAAATTATGCTGGCGCACTTTCTCCAAGTTATGAGGATGCAGCCATGATTCGCGGCGACCAGTCGTTTCCGAAGTTGTTGCAACGGCCGCCAATGTACCACTATTAGAATTAGCGTCGCCTCTTGATGGTAGTCCGGAGACTTTGGTTCTTGTGGATTCTGCAGCTGTCTCACCTGAAAAAGATTCGTTGCGTGATCCATTGATTATTGTCGCAGGGCCAGTTTCCGAAACGCTTGTGTCTGCATTGAAGGACGTGTTGCTCGTTTTGTTTTTTAATATTAAACGTTTTGGATTCGGCTTTAATTGGAAGCTTTCTGCGTTGGCATCAAGCTCTTCCAAACCGTCGAATAAACACTTTTTCGTTAACGGTGAACCCAGTGGCTTAAGTTTCACTGTAGCTGGACTCGCCTTTGTTGACACTCTGAATTGTTGACTAGCGCTGAAGCTACTTTCCAGGATTGCTTTTTGTGCTGCCGGATTTGTCGCTCGAGTGGCGTCAACTTCATCGTTTCTTTGCAAATCTTTAAATATAGGATTGTCGCCATACGGTGAAGTTACTTTGGAAAGAATTTGTTGATGTATAGGTATTTGTTGTTGCTGCATGCCACTATTTAATCCGCCTAAATGGGCATTAGTGCCGCCAAGAGAACCACCGCCAAAAGCTGATCCCAATGTACCCGTAGTGCCGAAAGCGTTACTGCCTGTACCGCCAAATAAACCCCCCCCAGGGTTATTTGTCGTAGTTCCTAGAGAAGAACCAAACAGCCCACCTGGCTTTGCTGGATTGTTTCCGAATAAAGAATTACTACCTGTGCCGGTATTGAAATTTAAGGGAGCTGCTTGAGAAGTTTGAGTACCAAATCCACCAAAGCCGGGAGTTTTGTTGAAGAGACCTCCAGCACTCGTCGTTGCATTGTTCAAAGAAAAATTACCGAAGCCAGTGTTCGCCGGCGTAGTAGTTCCAAAACCAGTGTTACCGCCGAAAGCTGCACCTGGTTTCGAACCAAATAATCCTCCGCCAGCCGTATTAGTTGCCGTGGTGCCAAAATTGCCGAATCCTGTATTAGTCGCAGTACCTGCGCCTAGACCAAAAGTTGGTTTATTTGCGTCAGCAGCAGTTTGTCCAAATAATGAAGGCTGTTGCTGCTGCGTATTAGCAGTGTTACCGAAACTTCCAAAACCAGTGTTAGCCTGACCAAAAGCTGGAACTGCGCTAGCGGCGGTACTTTGACCGAACAACGATGGTGCGGCGGTTTGTCCAAAAGCAGTTTTCGCAGCGAATGGATTATTAGCATCTGTACTTGTACTACCGAATCCGGTTGTGGTTGCAGATCCGAATGGCTTTGCCAGGAAACTACTTTGTTGTTGATTAGCAGTTACTCCAAATCCTGTGCTAGCTGGTTGACCAAATCCCCCACCGATAGGACCAAATAAACTTTTGTTTTCATTAGCGTTAGCAGTTGTTTGACCAAACAATCCGGTTGACGGCTGAGCTGTTGAACCGAATAAACCAGTACCGGCCGAGGAGCCCAAGCCGAAGCCTGTTGCTCCTGAAGTACCGGCTTGTGGCCCTTTACGGTTGGCTAAATAATCTTCCATACGTAGTTCTTCCAAGGATTTACCCTCATACTCCTTCATTCCGGTAATACAATGCAATTTGGTATTAATATTGTTGGATTGGCCGCCCTTCATTAAAGTATCTGTGCCCATAGTGGCCTGATATTTGGCTATGGAAGTACCAGGATTACTGGCCGCATTGCCAGGCTGACCGAATGCTGATGTTTGAGTGGCACCAAATACATTGGGCGCAGTGACAGCCGTCTGTCCAAAAGCGCCAAAACTTGTTGATGGCGTAGCCTGTTGGCCAAAAAGTGAGGGAGTCGCTTGCGTTGCCGTCGGCCCGAAACCACCAGGTTTAATGGCCGATCCAAAAGCTGAAGTACCCGCTTGCCCGAAAAGTGATTGTGTACTAGTTGTTGGTTGAGCTGCACCGAATATCGAAGCATTTTGCTGAGGTTGGGTAAAAGCTGTAACAAGGAACAAATTATTTAACAAGTGACTTTAACAAGGGAAGCAGAAGTTTTAGATCAAGAATTTGACTAACCTCCAAACGATGATGTGGTTGTAGTGCTACCAAAACCAGTGGAAGTATTAGATGCACCAAATAAACTGCCCGCTTGTGGTTGACTCGCTGTTGAACCAAATAAAGACGACGTGGTCGGCTGGCCACCAAAGCTTTCAAAATTGCAATGTGATTTAATAAATACAAATTATTATTTTTGATTTTATTGTACAAAGGAAAAAACAAAAATTCATCTCTTATTGATACCCGGAACAAAAATTGATCTTTTAATAATATTCGATATGAAAACTGAAATATTGATATATACTTGCTGGGGGCTGCTCCGAAACCTGTGGTATTAGGTTTGCCAAAAGCCGGCTGACCAAAGGGCGACGTTGTGGTTGCATTATTAAACGTACCAAAACCTGTTCCCGTAGTGGTGGCACCAAATGTGGGCTTCGTTCCACCAAACATGGTTTAAATTTTAACTGCACAAGACTCTTGCAAGAATGTCTTATAATCAATGTAAACACGCGACGATGGACGAATAGTTCTTATTCTTCTTATTTAAGAATGTATTTCACAATCTCAATTCGCAATTCTTTTGTTTACGAACAAAAACAACATACAACAAACTTATTAGTTACGCTGCTTATACAAATATAATAGTGAATTTTTATTATAAAAATTGTAAAGGAAAAACGGTATTGATGTTAAGAAATATTTCAATTATCTATAGAATTTTGAGGGAAGAAACACGGAATGTTATCCAGTGTTTGCAAACGAGTAAAAATGGCGCCGTAAGTATTATGTACTATGATTACCGAGTCCACTTTCTTACAAATTCTCCTTATTTACTACAGTGATGATAACTTTCAAATGGATTTAAAATTTTTGACTTTTTTTTATATTTTCTAAGCACTTTTTCCACAATTTCAATTTAACACATTCTCGAAAAGTATATTTACTTTTCTATGTCATTTCATTTAAATTGTAATGGCATTCGATTTTTAAACATCAAATGGCGGCTTTGGTTATGTCATTAAATGAAAAAAAAAACAGATCGTCTCATTTTCTATGTGCGTGGGCTTTGTAGCGTGCAAATAGATGTAATATTTTATTAATAGACATTTAAAATCCCCATCACATAATTTGAAAGCAAACATTTTAAAAAATATTAAGTTCATTAATGGTCCTTTTGTTGTTATCATATGTATCCGCCTGAGTGGCCGAGTAGGCAAGAGTCTCAAATAGCAACTCAATGGTCGTGGGTTCAAATCTCAAGTGCGGTAGAGTTTTTAATTAAGCCGAAAGCCTTAGATGCTAGTGCTTTAAGACTAAGACATTTAGTTTTAGAATTTATTTTTCTGACTAAAAATAATAATTCATATGTAACCAAAAAAAATAATACCATTTGTTCTAATTCTTTTGCTTTTGCGGTAAGAGGATAAAAAAGAAAATGGGGGAAGAAAAACGCATTTTCACCGCTCAGTTAAAAAATATTTTTTAAGCAACATGAGTTCTTTAAAATACAATTAAATTTGCTTACGGAATTGAACTTTAATCAACTTGTATACAATTTTAATTGACATGGATTTCGGTAAACTTGGCAACCCTGGCAGCATGGTAAAAAACATGTGTGCAAAGAGAGCAAAATAAATTGTAGTCTGACAAATTGAGTTTTATGCACAGCATTTTTGCGGGGTATCCATAAGAAATGTACAACAAAGACAGCAAAGTAACTATTACTCTGAGAAATCGAATTTTATTCTCTCCATTTTGTACAGCAAAGGCAGCAAAGTAAATTTTACTTTTAATTTTCAAAGAAAAGAAAAACATTTCAAACATTTTCTTAGTTGCTTTTTAGTTGTCATTGCTAAGATTTCTTGTGAGCGGATGAAGTTTTCGTATTTAGCTTTTTAAATCTTCATTAAGCGAACTTAATAATTAAATATTGAAAGTGTAACATAAAATACATACACATGCATACATAGAGGCACATTTACTCAAATGCGGGTTCATATATCAAAGTTGACAAGTTTTTGGCCTCAAAGTAAATTATGTACCAAAAATAATTTGATAAGCAACAACAAACCGTTACATCGTAAAATCTTATTCGATAAAATTTCTTCAGTTTCTTAAACGATTAATTGCTATTAAATTGAAGGCAATATAAAAAGTGATGGAAAGATTTATTAAAATGTTTTATTTTTACCGCTGGATTTTGCGTTTTCTTGTCGCGTAAAAGCTTTTGTCTATGCTTAATTAGTGTACAATTTTGATTTTGGATGCACACACATTCGTGATATTAAAAAAAAAAAAAGAATAATAATAATAAAAAACATGACGACATGTCTACAGGCAAAACAAATACATATTGCTTGAGTGCAAGTGAAATCATATTGTAAATGTTTGCCTGAGAAAAAAAAAAAGATATATAATTTTAAATATTTTTTTGTTGCTCTATTGTTGCTGTTATTGTCGTTATCGTTGTTGTTGTTTTTTTTTTTTTTTTTTAATTCGCATTGAACAACAAAATATTTACAAATATAATAACGATGGCGGTGTGGAACGAATGCAGTCACAAACAAGTGTTCGGAATTGGTGAGTTAATTATCATTATCTTATTTTATGATTCTATCTCTCTTGCCCTTTCATTCATTCATCGTTATCATAGCAGTCATTTGTTATTGTAGACAATATCAATAAATTCAACAAGTTGTTTGATAGAACAACAACAATTGAAATTAATCAGCTAGAATAGAAGAAAAGCAAAAAAAGAAATTAAAAACAATAAGAATAAAACGAAAGGGGAAAAAGCGAAAACAAGGACAATAGTGTTGGAAAGTGATACTGAGCTACTTTAATGATAGAAGGTGGATCTTGAAAGCCTATGTAAAAAAAAGTACGTTAATAAGATGGAGTATTTTTCGACCACAATAAGAGACCTACGGCGCCCGCGACATGTTTAAAGCATCTAGCGAAATAAATTTATTTTTTTAATATAATTTTAAAGGTTTGTTCTTCCTGCTTTTAGGTAAACAGTTGCCCTCAGTGTGTCATTCAACTTTCATTGTTACATTTTTTGGCCTTTTCAAGAATAGAGACTAAAAGAAAATCACTTCTTCTCCCGCTCATTCTTTTCGCTCTCTCCGTCATTCTTTAAGGATAGGATTACAAAGCATCCAAAAAAATAAATAAATAAAAAAATAAGAGTTCTTACTCTCCGAAGGAATATATTATAATATTATCTCGTATGAGGTCAACTCAATTTTTGTCTTGAATAAAAATGTATTAATACATTAAGTAATTAGTTGAAGAAAAAGTTCAAACAGATAGCCCAAAGTATGCGTATATTTACTGAATTTTATACCTCAATATATGACCTTAAAAATGCATTCGATCTCCTGCTGTGTTATTACTAAAGGAATTTCTATATATTAAACAACAACTACTCCAACTCCAACTGTAAAAAATATATGAAAAGATTGCTTAAATATTAGACACACTAACACATTGATTGTGCGGGTTTTTGTTGTTGCTCATTTTTTAACTTTTTTTTTCGACTTTTTGAAAACAAATACAAAACTGGTTTACCTTTATTAGTTACAATGTATGTTCAACTTCGTAATCATATACATTTATGCTAAATATGTACATGTGCAAGATGACTGCGCATGTTATGTCTCTGTGTGTTGCGAGTGTTTGAATAAGCGGCAATTTTTTTTTTGTTTTCTTTATAGAGTGGATCGCGCACAATATAAATTTGGTCAAGTGAAAATCTAGCTCCTGAACATGCACAAACTGATAATGACCGTAATTATCGTTTTTATTTATTTTTTACTATCGGTTTTATTTATTTTTTTTTTACTTAAGAGAAAACTAAAACTACAGTTTATTGTTTAGTTTGTAATGAGTTTTCAGGAAAAGTTTTTTGTGGTAATGTAGTATCTGGATCGCTTAGAATACGGTTGAAACTTTCAAAGTTGAAATAAGATACATGCTTCACTTGCAAATTCTGCGTCCGTCTGACTGCCTTTGGGCGGAATTCTCCAATTCCGACAAAATGAATAAGAAAAGGGTTATATAGAAAACCGGCATTCATGATTAATCGAATTTGCAGGGAAATAAGTGGAAAACCAATTGCAGGTCCTCCTGCAGGAACGCTGGCTTTAGATGTATCTTTAAAAAAAAGCTTTATTAGCTGTGCAACGGTCGGGGGAAATTTTGAAAGATAAATTATTGAGCAAAAATTTTTTTATGTGGGCTTTGAAGTGGACCTTCTGATTTCTAATGAAATTTATCTCGATTGTCTAAACGTTTTTCGTAGGTTCAAGGCCTTTCAGTATTTTTCAGTGAACTTTCTTTAGACTGAAAAATTTGTATTTGCCACACTCAGGTGGATTTCTTTTTGAAAGTAAAATTCAGGAAAAGCGAAAATATAAAACTAAAATTAGTTAGCTTAGCGAAGGATTCTTCTTTTTCCACTACACACGGAGATACGCTCCGAGCGGCAACCTTGCAAAATCCTTACCGCATAACGCAAATTGTAGCGATATCTCCCATATGTGTTTTTAAATAGCGTTTTTAAATTCCGGTTACTATATGCACATAACATATTAACATCTCTGGATCCGTACATAGGTATTAATATGACTTTCGCCAAAGGCATTTATAACTTACAACCTGTGGTACATTGTGGTACATATTAAGTGTGTGTTCGTAACACCCAAAAGGACTTGAGATAGACTAATTTTTTATTATATCAATCGAATCAGAATCATCTTCTGAATTGTTTTACACATGCATTACAAGTTGCAATTTTTTGAGATATTCTAACGTGGTTTGGTCCAAGGGGGAAACATATATGAAAATGGATTGGGACGCATCATTTCTACATTCATGGTCTATAAGACGTCTGATTTTAAAAAAGTCGTAGTATGAAAAAAATTTTCAATATGCAAAATTTTTAGACTAAAATGGTCGAGTAATGGTATTTTCTTATATTAAATCGATATAAAAGATCATTGGATCAGATTAGGGCATTGTAAGCTTTTGTATGACAAAAAGGTTTATTTTAAAATATTTTACAACGAAAATTGATCCCTAATAGTGATTTCACGTAAAATATTTATGTAGCAAAACAGGTCTACTTTTTAATAGTTTCCTATGAAAGTTGATTCACCAAAGTAATGTGACATAAAAATGAGCTGCACCAAATTTAGACTACGCAAGTCCATTTTTTGGAACCTAAAAAAAGGCATAAAAGGCTTCTCATGGTAAAGAATAACTTTTTAAGGCACCAAAAGTCCAGTTTTTAGTATTTTATGTCAAAATAGTTGAATAGTGACAAGATCTTTAAGAAGAAATTAAATTTTGCAAAATTTGGATCAAGTTACTTCGAGGCTGCCTTGCATACATATAAGAGCTTTTCAATATACCGTTAGGTGGAGAGAAGGTTATCATTTTGACATTTTCTCATGAAAGTAAATGAAGAATTGCGTAAAATGGACCGATATAGGGTATCTAAGATTCGGCCATGTCCGATTTTTATGGTTTGGCTTGTTTTGAAACTAGTTTAAATATTTGGAGCAACATCAGTGAGAAATGTCAATTAAAAACAAAAGTGCATTTACTTCGGATGGCTTGGAGCAGAGGTATTCTTAAAAATGTTATAAGAATATTACGTTACATTACTTAAAATTTCTATTCTATTCTATAATTTTTCATTATATCTATCTATTCATTTCATTTATTCATTTTTGTATTCCCTACTTTAACTTAATACGCCTGCTTTCTATTCCAAGATGTAGTTAAAACAATATCTCGTTCTCAACACTTAATGCATAATGGAAGCTCCTCGACGTCTATTTGAAAAAAAAAAAAAAAAGTTCTCACATTACGTTTAGTTGTTTTTAAAACGACATTGAGTAATTTCTTGCAATCAAAGCAATTTTTTTTTTTTTTAATGCTATTATTTATTATTATTTTTTTTTTCGTTTCTCCTCAACAACTAGTTTTCTAAATACTAGTACTAGTACTTTTTACGTTTTTTATCACAGGAAAGGGTAACATTAAATTTGTCAGTACTTTTGTAACATCCCGCCATATATCTTAGTGCTCGATAATCTATAAATATTCTTTTGATCCATGTGAGTCGTTAATTATTCATTCTACCTATATCTTTGGAGATAGAAAATGAAAAAATTGATACAGGATTCCTTTAAAGATTCTTTCAACCGCTTGACGTATAAGATCGGTCAGGATGCCCACATTAGCAACTTTGCGTGAATATTCGATCAGCCCTTCGAGAGACTAAGTCAAGAAATAGTTAAAATCGACTGGAAAAAAAGGCCGACATTAGTGATTAAAACGAAACGATCCTGAAAAGAAAAACAAAAGCCCAAATTTAATTGCTTTTATTCCATGTGATCTGAATATAAAGTCAAGTCATCTAAAAGCTTGCGTTGAGAATGGTCCTAATCTGCGGATTGCTATAAGCTAATAACTACCAGACATTTTCTTAAAAATGGTGATTGCTTGGTTCGCCTTCTTCAAAGCTCCCTTTTTATACCCTACGCCGTTTGGGATGACGGGGGATCTTAAGTTTGTAGGGGAAGAAAGAGTTGAAATAAGCACACTTTTTATTGTATTGTATTGTCTAAACTTGTCAGTCCGTACGACTCTCTTGCTCTTTTGTGCTTAATTTTCAAATCGAAACCTATGAGATATTTGGATGTACATTGGTACACTAACGTGTTTCGTAATGCTTCGGATCGGACTACTTTTTCGATCATTTTTCACGTAAAGCTTTAATTTGAAAAGCTGTTCTTTAAAGTATTTAGTTGTGAGCCGTGGCTTACTATGTGGCGTTCTTTCTCGTACTTTCTTTCTGAAGTGTTGCAAATGTCGACAATTTAATAATAAACGTATAGATGGACAGACAGGCGGACGTAATGAGCTTCTTTCCGACTTAGGTCAAATGTGAGGAAAATAATGCAAAAACTTGTACACTATTGCGAGAACTTGGCACCGCTACCAAATATCAATTCAAATATTGACAAAATAATCTAATATAACCGGTCAAGAGAAATGCATAATGCGTTATTTGGTAGTGTTTTCAAATGAAATTCCGCGGAACACTAACAATTGCACCAGAAAGTTATGGCAAATTTCCTACTCTAGGGGAGCCTGGTAAGGGGAGAAATTAATTTTCTTATTTTTCAATCCGTCGGTATGGAAGCAGAGTGATGGACAGGGAAAATTATGAGGAAAGAAATGGGGAAGGAAGGCGATAGCGTTCCTGGTCGGACGGAATAGCTACATGACTTTAGCATTTTGCCGTATTTACCAGAGCTTTGTAAGTATTTGCCATCGTGATCGATCTACAGTAAGCTTAAGAAACTTGGGCAGAGACAGAGTGCTATAGTTTTTTTAATATACGCCGGCTTAAGTGAATTGCAATATAATGTTGACAACGTATATCTGCAGTTGGTAGAACTGTTTCGATTTGATGCGAATCGCTTTAATCTGATGAAATTGATTTACAGTTTGGGAATGGATGGATGAAAGATTAAAAGTGACTCAGATGAGTTTATAACGTA